GCCTAGTGTGTGCTGCCGTGGCAGTAGGGAGGATGAGGGTGAGGAGAGAAGCGGAAAGGAGGTCACGGAGGAGGAGGAGGAGGAGGAGGATTAGTAGGACGAGGATGGGGAGGCTAGAAGAGACTTCTCATATTGTCCTGTGATATCGCATTAGATTCGGTCCACTCCACCTCCTCCGTCGGTGGCCAAAGGATAAATGAAGAATGGGAACACAATGTCGTGGGCTCCCATGACGACAGTCTTCTTCAGACATCGTCTCTCACAATGCCTACGCGAAGCTCCCTTCCTCCTATGTCCTCTCACAGCACGAGTGCCGCAGAATCGGCCACACCGTCACGACATTTCCTCACCATGTTGGAGTCCTATGTGCCAAATCGAAGTCGCACTTTAATCACGATCAGGTCTCCTCCCTCCTGTCAGTCACATAGGCGCAGCACTTGTTCTACCATACCACTACGGTTGCCAGTTTCTTCAAGTCGACGGCACAAGAACAATTGAGACGTTTGGGTGCTTAGTGCGATGGTGTAAGCGTGAGGCAGTGTGGTGTGGGTGGCACTTTTGCTCCATTCTAAGTACAGACCACCCAAAATTAACATTGCGGTCCTGTGACATCACAACTCACGTGATTTAAATGTTAATGGGCTTTAAGTTGCCGAAGAATAAGTGAAGGCGCAAGGACTTTTGCGGATAAGATTATTTGGTCAGAAACAAATGGAACAATTTTTGATTGTTAATTGCAACCACGTGATTGGTTTTGCTTAGTTTTTTCTTTGCCCGCTGATTTGTCAAATTAAGAAAAATTCGTTCTGCTTAGTATTGTGGGCATAATTATACTACTGCGGACCTAAAGGCTTAATTGGAGTATTAAAGTCTATGTCTCGTGTTTGCAATTATCGCGCAAAGTATAAAAGCAACCTGTGAAATATTTGGATCTGCCCCACATATGTTTTCACGATTCTCACAGTACTTTACAGAAAAACTCATTGCAAAATCTAATTAAAATGTGCTTTTTATTTGTACATCCCTCAAATTTGAATCGCTTCTTGACAATTCGTGGAAATTTAAACAAACGACAGGCGCATTTTTATGATAGTATAAGGTAACCGAACCTCCTCATTTTCATTCACACCGTAGTTTTTCTTCCTATTTATTGTCTCTAACTCTACTCCTTTTGTGCCTGCATTAATTGGTGCACTTGACCTCATTATACGAGTTGGGAGGGATTGCGACATGGAACGGAGTGCGGTTGCAATGGAAGCAGTGACGATTGCAGTGGCAATATCAAGGTTGAGGGTAGAAGCAAAAGTATGGTTCGCTTGTTTGCATTTGCAGAATATCTAAACCAAGGATGCATGGAGAAGAATGCCTGCCAACGTACTGAGGCATTGGGCACTCCTTTCAACGCGGATTATCAAATCTTGTTCTCAAGTGAAACGACCTTCTGATCAGCATAGGATTAAAGTTGGTGGCCCACCACAGTCGTGATCTCTCGACCGACATAATTTGTTGCCTTTATCATACAGAATTTGAATCATTTTTTAAGTAATGGTTAAACGGTAATAAAATTTACCCCTCGTTTTCTTTTATATACATGCAAATTCTTGTTCCGTTATCTTCAGCTAAAAAAATTCACAATAGCGGAGGTTCGACGATTTTATTTGTTTACCCGGTCTTCATCATACCCCATTCGTCCAAACCCACCATTAAAGTCCGCTATTGTTAGTATCTTAAGGCAAGGACAAATTATACTTAGCCAGACAAAATAGTATCTGAAGATAAAACATGAACCTCGCAACTTCAACTCACGCGATCGTAATTAGATGCCCATAATAGGGTTCTACTGTTACAGCTCCTTTCGTCTACCCGCAAAAGTCTTAACGCCTCCCAATTTCAAAATATGAAGAGATTATTTTAAAATAAGTGATAAAGGAAAGCTTTTTATTGAAAAGAGTATTTTAGGAAAGCAGTGTGTAAGATCATAACTCCGAGTACAAGTATTGATGGAACAAAAGAACATTAAGTTTATTTAATGGTTCTCATTTGTTAATCTTGCGCACCTTTAAAATTCGCATAATATTTCCTTCTTATGACTATTGGAAGCCGATCAGTTTCCTTCATTAGTGACGGAAGTGAAAGATGAAACTTCAAGACGTTGGGAACATGTTTTCCTTGTGCTGTGAATAAGGGCGCAAAAATTAGAATTGTTGGGTAACAAAGTGGGGGACAACTTACCTGGCGACGTGATTATGCAACACATTACACAGGAGGCTGCGGTAATGGAGGTCGGCTTCCATTTGTTTCCTAATTTAATGGCTGTAAATTAGTGACTAGGAAGATCTGTGACTGGACTGCTTCCGTTGAGTATGGTGCGTTGCCGTTTGGACGCAAAGAACCTTCTTCCAGCCTCTACGCCTCCTGACCACCGATAATAATGGGATGGGTGGAGATGGATGCGAACAGTTAGAAGCAGAGCAGTTCAGTTGTCCAGTGCCTGCCTGCCTGCCTGCTTCACTAAAAGTCCCCTCAATTATAAATTTAAAGTAGAGTTGTCCTACTTCAATCCCTTCTTGTAAAGTTTAAAATATTAATTAACATTCTAACCTTAAATTTGACGAAGATACTTGTGACATTGAAGGGTAGCCTCACGATGAGGTTGATTTGCTGTTTTTACGCTCAAACTGGGCATTCGTGGTGGCTGCCAAACTTAACTGTAAATAAAAGAACCTTTGCCAAGAATAGCCCTTATGAGATCGTTAGCAAAAGAGAAGCTGCAGCAGAATAGCAAAATCGTTTGCTATGCCACAGTATTCTCTTAAAGTTGTTGACATAAAGGTGCCCTTTTTCTTGCATTATGGCAAGAATCCTCAGCCTAAGGACACAAATGCAAGCAAATTTGTAAATTTTAATAAATTACGGATTCCTTTTTCTCGATTTCCCTTCTTTACTTTGCTTCGTTTAAGTACGTTTAAAGATGAGGATAATTATGAGAGTGTGGGCCATATTTTTTTACACGGACCGCTCATTTATGCACTTAACGTTGAGGCTTTAAATAGACTTGCAATGTTTCGGGACAGACAGATTGGCAATATGTTTAATCAGGCACTTCGAATCCGATGCCTTGTGAGCTCAAGGCACTTGCAGTTCCCACTTTGCAACGCACAATATTTTCCCTGTCGAAGAAAATAGGATAAAACGACTCTGACCGATGGTCAGTTTAGGGGTGTGAAGACGAGGCTAATTTAGGGGCCAAAGGCAAATTGGAACCTACTTCGCATTTTAACCAATTACTTTTCGCCATTAACAACTGAATGTAAAAGCAGGTAAATTGAGGTCCCTCTGTCTGTAGACTCATCTAACATCTTTGCTCTGGAGCATTGGAAAACGCCCTTTTCCACACATCATCATCAGACGCATCGAGATTGCTGGCGAACGTATGCTTTGAGTAAAAATAGTTCTCTAGAGGTCCCTGTTACTTTTATCTCATTGCATGGAATTCTAATGTGGTAGAAGGTGCATTACGGGCGTAGGGCAAAGCAGAATTGCCTATGGAGACATTCGGACAAATGTCAAATCATTACATAGGGATATTGTGAGGATTTTCTAGCTAAGCTTAAAGTAACTCCTCCCAAACCACCTTAAGCAGTGCCGTCTAGAAAAATTGAAATCAACTAAGCATTGTGAACAGACGACGTTACTTTGTCACGAACACGAAAGGCATTTGTTTTCTCATAGGTAAAGGGGAACTTCGATTAATTTAAGTGCTTTGACATTGCTTCAGACTAAACTGGCATCTCACAATCAACGCATTCAGTCAGGAATCCTGATAATGAAGGGCATATTTGTCTATCCGGCATCTTGAAGTCACTGTGGTTCCATTTTTATGTTTATTCTCCTTTGATTTCTTTGTAATGAATCATCAAAAGTGGCAAAACCTAGTAAATGATTGATCCAGCGCAGTTTTTTCATTTTTAGTCTACTTGTGTTATTACTCGAGATCTGATCAGTAAAGTGCAAGAGACTTCATTTCATGCCACAGGTAAATTTATCCAGACGTGCGCCTGGAGGGAGACGATTGTTTGATTGGTGCGGCGAAGTAATTAGTGATCGACTCAACGCAACAGCACTTCAACATCGGTGTCGACCACGCGAAACGGTAAAAAATGCTCCTCATAAAATCCTAGAGCAATATTTTAATGCATGTGAGCTGCCTTGTGGGTCAGTAGCGAACCCAGTGGTTACGCAGGGAAGAGCCCTTCCGGCTTAGGCTGGAAATAAACGTTACTCTTTGAAATCCACTTTTCTGCAGTGCATTATATCCAAAGTTTACATTACTGTGACAGATCAGTCACCTCAAAGACGGCACACTCTTGAGAATCGTGCCAGAGGAAAGCCAGAAGAAGTGGCGAAAAGACTGCAAATGTAACTATGGAAGAGTATCACAAATTAGTTGCAAAACTATGCTATGATATTAAAGTAGTAAACGAGATTGGTTTAGTAAGTTTATGAGAAGCAAATTCATTTGAAAGTCACGACTGCACTAGGACAGTCATGCAAGACTGCAATGAGGAGATAAAGTTGGTTACCTACTTTAGAAGAAGTCGCAAAAGCTTGCTCCTCTGCAACACTAAATAGGTCTGTGACCGATGCCTGTTTACGTCATTATTTTAAAAGGTGAATTTTTATTTATCCATTGCTACATTATTTTATTATATTTCCTTTACCTAACCTTTAGCGATTTAAATCGCCCATACTGCAAAATTTCGACTTAGCAAACTTGTTTATCTTAATAAGATCGGTGTAGCACAGGACTCATCTCGGGTCTCACCTCGAGTAGCTGCGTAATATGTATAAGCATTATCTCAAAAAATACATTCAACAGCATTATACCTGTCATTTAATAGCACAAAACTTATGCTTCACGTTTCCAAATCTCCCAACTCCTCTCATTTTCGGAATAAGTGTAATTATAAGTGTATATTCTGACTAATCTACGATAGGTAGAATATGAGGACTAAGCCAGCAGATTTATATTAAAAACAATAATCCGAAATTGTGCTACTGAGTAAAAATTAACTGACTATCTCAAAGCTATGG